AGACAGACAGACAGACAGACAGACAGACAGACAGACAGACAGACAGAGACAGACAAAGAGAGAGAGAGACCCTGAGAGATGGTTGTCTGGTTTAGTAGTAGTTCTGAGAGGCTTCTGCCATTGTCTTAAGAGTCCTTGAGTATTATGCATGTGCCTCTGAGTGGCCAAGTCTGAAAGCGAAGCCTGGCGCTGTGCTCTGCTTACACAAGTCTCCGCCTTTGTGAAACTATGTAAAGCCTACACTGAATCCTGTCACCAGCTTTAAACACTTAAGTTACGGGGAGGGGTGGGGGAGGGTCCTGCAAGGTGCAAAAGCAGAGGCCAGAATGGTCTAAATTTGACCTGAAGATTAAGTAACCCAGACTTCAATATTTGGAGTGAATTAGTACTTTCTAGTATGATTTTATAATTGCATGTTTTATAAATGCATGTACATTTTATAAATTCTGCAATTAAGCATAATATTGTCTTATAAAAATTCTAATTCATTATTTTAGGTTAATGGGTTACTTTTTTTCATTGTTCTTGGCTTCAGGGAAAATTATTGGAGACATAATGGACTGTCGACTGTTTGCATATTTTATTCTCATTTTCTAGAAAGATGGTTATTTTATGAAAACAAACATCCCGCAAAGCTTAATTTCATTCCTCTTGTGGCAGATCGCTTACAACGCTGGGGTTGGTTATATCGTCACTCGCTGACCAGGCTGCTGGAAAAGGCAAAAACAAATTTGTGCCTTACCGAGATTCGGTCCTCACCTGGCTTCTTAAGGTAATTTGTGGACCTGGGATTCGTTTTTATCGAAACCTTGCTGTTCCTGATGTGAAAGAAGTGTGCAAGCTACCGAAGCACACACATTGCTGCCGTCCTAATTCTTCCTGGTGCACAAAGAACACAGTTTTGTAGGGAGTATGGGGATGGCTAAGCAGGTAAGATCGTTTGCTTGAGTACACATGAGTACCTGAGTTCAGATCCCCAGCACCCATGTGAAAAGTTGAGTGTGGAGATGGGTGGAGCTTGTTGACCAACCAGCCTAGCTTAAACAGCTGGCTTCCAGTTCAGTGAGAGACAAGTAAGAGTGACAGAGAAAGACAGCTGACATCTTCCTCTTTCCTCTTCGTGTACCTGCCCACGCACACGCACTTGTACACTCATGTGCCACACAACATCATACATATACAAATTAACTCTACTTAATATTTTTATTCTGTCACAATGTCCTTTGTCAGATACTATTTATTGATACAAATATAGACAGACCACGTTTCTCTTTTTATAGAATTACGTGCAATGTATTAACACATCTTCACCTTGCATTCTTTTTTCCACGAACAACCAAGTCACATGTGGATATTTCCTCTTTTGTCACGTCTGTCATGAAGTGGTCTTCAACAAGGTGCCATCTGAAATTCTTTACAGGACAATTTAGGAGGGAACAGCCAGACCTCTATGATCGCCACCATCAGCCCAGCCGCAGACAACTACGAGGAGACACTGTCCACACTGAGATATGCAGATCGAGCCAAGAGGATCGTGAACCACGCTGTAGTGAATGAGGACCCCAATGCCAAAGTCATCCGAGAGCTGCGAGAGGAGGTGGAGAAGCTGAAAGAGCAGCTCTCGCAGGCTGAGGTAACATCAGTCTGCCGTGCCCTGTTCCTGAAGTCCCTTGACTTGGGTGTCTGACGGGTGAGGACACACCGGCTTACAGCCCTAGGTTATATGTGTGACTCAGCCTTTCAGTGTGTGCTGGCGTCTGCTCCGGGGTAAGGAGCATTGTGAAGAACGTGACTAATACGGACTCATGCCCTAGCAGTTGGCTGACAAGGAGGGAAGTGAGGTCATTCCTGTCACTACCTAATTGTTTGCTTCGGTCTGTCACTTGGCCCTTGAACTTCCAATGGGACATCCTAAGAACAGTGTGTGTGTTTTTAATGAACACTGTAGACAGTTTCCATGGGGCTTTTGTAGATGCTGGGTATCCTTTCCTCGTTCTTGGAGATCGGGTCTTGTTGATGGACGGGTTCCTAATTGATTACTGTAGCTACAGGATATTTAGGGATGACATTATTGATTTCTGTCTTGCTGACAAACAAATCTGCTTAATCTTTTTCCTACTTTGATATTTCAGAGATAAACTTTAGCATTTTTTTTCAGTCTTTAAATCAAACACCCATTAGCTATTATTGCTTTTTCTTTAAAGAGGAACAACCATGTCCTCTTCCATTTACTTTGATTAGTGGAATTCCAAGGCCCACGCTGACAGTGCATGACTTAATTGCTTCGGAAAGACTATTAATACTTGCCGAGGAAGAACATAAGGATGCTGAGATGTCGCCCATAACTATATAGCACATGCCTACAAATGCATACCAAATGTGCAGGGTCTTGTGTTCAAACTCCAATGCCCTAAACAAGAATACCATTATATATGTATGTATGTACTGTACATAATGCTAGAAAGATTGTGAAAGCTGATGTCTCTGATTTCATTTTTAAAGGCCATGAAGGCCCCTGAGCTGAAGGAGAAGCTTGAAGAGTCTGAAAAGCTGATAAAGGAGCTAACAGTGACATGGGAAGAGAAGCTGAGGAAGACGGAAGAGATCGCACAGGTGGGCTGATGAGTTATCCTAAGACATCAAGGTCTCCTTCCACCAGGTGTCCTAGACGGACACCTGCCTCGTCCAGAACCCTCCCAGGCCTCGTTCTCTCTGCTGAGCTCATTGGAAAGCAAGCTTTGAGTCTCTCTCCAGTCTGCATATGGTCCCATGCTGCTGGAATACTCCATTGAATAACCAAGGCTTGGTGGGGGGGGGTGTCTTTCCCACTTTCTGTTTCTCATAGGAACAAAGGTCCACACTGGGATTCGGTGGGGTTTTTTTCAGATCACTTGGCAAAGTATGGTATTGAAAACTCTGATTGTCAGGAAGTTTTTTTTTCTTTTATTATTTTTATTATGTACACAGTGTTCTGCCTGCATGTTTGGTGAATGCCAGAAGAGGGCACCATATTTCATTATAGATGATTGTAAGCCACCATGTGGTTGCTGAGAGTTGAACTCAGGACCTCTGGAAGAGCAGCCAGTGCTCTTAACCTCTGAGCCATCTCTCTAGCACCAGGAAGTTTTAAGACATACAAGACAATAGTTTTCTACCATTTGATTCCTTATTAGAAGATTCTGTATGAGCGATTAGTGAAATGGACTATGCGACGGGGGTAATACAGCAGGGGTGTGTGTTCGGGATCCCTCCACAGTGCATTTCATGAGCATTTGACTTCTGTTGACACTGTCACAAGCTACCACTTGTCTACTCTCACAAGAAGATAAGCTTTCATGAGAGGAGGACTTTTGTTTTATTAGCTGTTATGTTCCCAGCCACAGATCAGTACCCACCACATTCCAGACTATTGCATAAGTCTTACGTGGACAGGTGGACTCAAGGCCCGTCATTACACGGTCTCTACCTGTTCTTCCAACTCCATCTCCTATGGCTTTCCCCATTTGCTTGGAGTTCTTGTCTCCTGAAACCATCCTCTGTGCCCAGAATCTGACTGTGCTTTCCTGTGACCACTGCTCAAACAACTGATCTTGCTTCTTGCTATGGAACTTCATCTAATGCTCCAAGAATTATCTCACACATATTCTGAGCCCATCCTGTTCTCTAAACTTTTCCATCATGATGCCTCTCCTCGGAAACCACGCAGCACTTCATAGCCCTCCACGGCGCACTGCTATTCTTTTGCATTCTAGTTATGTGGGCTTGTCCTCTTCTCCAGATTTTTAGTTTGAGAATTGATACTGTGTGTGATTCACCCTTGGTGCCCTGTGACATTGTCGTGTCCTACACTATGGGCACTTAGCGAACTTAGTTAAGCTGAGTAGAATGTGTCATCCCTTGGCATTGTCCCCAGGAACAGTGACTTATTCTTTCCATGGATACATCTTGTGAATAGAACAACAAATGGTCTCTGCTTTTGTCTGTTTCTGTGACCAGGAGAGACAGCGGCAGCTGGAGAGCATGGGGATCTCCCTGGAGACCTCCGGGATCAAGGTGGGGGATGACAAGTGCTACCTCGTCAACCTGAACGCAGACCCCGCCCTCAACGAGCTTCTGGTTTACTATTTAAAGGTGAGAAGGTGTGTGTCTGAGCAGCAGACCACTGTGATCCTGCAGCCTCCCCACAGAACCTGGATGCCTGGTTTCATGAGTTTTCTTTCTGTATCCAGCTTTTCCCTGGGTAGAAGTAAGACCATGGATGGTGCAGTCCCTCACCCTGATGACAAGAAACAACTTTTGTTTTGCCTGATGCCCTTGAGTACAGGCTGCAGAGAGACATAAATGGACAGCTTGGGGTACACCTGTTGTACCCCAAGTGTAAGGTGGCAGAGTTCCGAGGTGTCAGGGATCCAAAAGGCCATGGAGATTCTTCATTGTAACTCTAAGGAGGTCTCAAATCCCACACAAGCCTAGAGAGACTCTAGGCTGGATTCAAGAGCAAAGCTCTTCCAAGTCTGTCTCAGTTCTGACTCCATTATCAGGAAAGGACCTTTGTGCTATGCTTCTTCACATATGGGCTTGTAGCATTGGCACTGTGACCTCAGTGTGCACTGACCATGCTGGGCACATCTCTGCAGTGGGTTTCCAAACTTCCTGGCGTTAGATCCCGTGTACATTCTTTAAGAGTATCAAGAACTCCAGTGCACTTTTGTGTGCCTAGGTTGCAGCCATCTGTATGTAGGGCATTAAGACTGGGGTGCTGGAACACGAACACACAGCTGTCAGCTCTCAGAGCTCCTCGCCACTGACCAGGCACCTGCAAAGGCCCTGCCATTCATGCATGATAAAATGAGAAAGCAGGGAGAAGTAACGTTTGGTGTTTTTCCTAAGTACTTCTGACCTCGTGGGTCTCCTGAAATGCCAGATGTCAAGGGTTCTTTGGCTACATAGGTAGAACTAACTACTGGGCAATTTTATTAAGCAAGAAATGGGACATCAGAGCCAGGTGTGGTAGCCCATACCTATAATCTCAATATTTGGGAAGTGTAGGCAGAAGGATTGGGGGTTCAGGATGATACTCTACTACTTAGCAAGTTCAAGGCCACCCTAGGCTATGTGGGACCCTATCTCAAAGGGGGAGAGAGGGGGGCGGATATTTGAAATAGGACACTTGATTTCATTGGTAGAGGATGCCCCAACTGACAATTGACCATCAAACTATGTTTAATTAGATCATACACAGAGAGAGTTTGTATGTTATGGTAGTTTATTTATGTGCCAAAAGAGGGCATTGGATCCCATTATAGATGGTTGTGAGCTACCATGTGGTTGTTGGGAATTGAATTTAGAACCTCTGGAAGAGCAGCCAGTGCTCTTAGCAGCTGAGCCATCTCTCCAGCCCTCTGGTATAGTAGTTGAATATTGAAATAATGGTCAAGGATTGGGTACCTGGAGTCTTTTTACATTTGTTTGATTTGTTTTTATTTATGTGTGTGCCTGCTTATCTGCATGTGTATAACATGCATGCAGTGCCCATAGAGGCCAGAAGAGGATATCAGATTCCCTGGAACTGGAGTTACAGGCAGTTGTAAGCCACCATATGGGTTCTGGGAACCCAACCCACATCTTCAAGAATGGCAAGTGCTTTTACTGCTGAGCCATCTCTCCAGCCCTGGACCTGGGTACTTTAAGGCAGCTTACATATACTGTACATTGTAGCAGGCAAACCTGCCAGTGTGCAGGAGTTACCCTCTTTGGAAGGCTAAATAAGCACCTCGTTAAGGATTTGGATCCCTGGGGGTATATAATATGCAATGGAGAATAAACTAGAATTGAAGCAGGGAGCCTTAGTCTCCTAAGATCTTTTTCCTTCCTTTTGCAGAGGTAAAAACATGGTACAGCTAGCCCTTGATCTACTGAGACTCCATGAGCCAACTTAGGATCTGTTATTTAGGGAGAGGGAATTGTTTCTGAGCTGGGGGCCTGTAAACTCGGGGTCCTGTGTGTGGTAGGCAAGCACTATGCTACAGAGCTGAGTCCCTAACCACAGCCATCTTAATTTGAAAGACCAAGTGTTACATTTCCCCCATTGCAGACAGAAGTAATGCCGTAGTGATTAAATACTTTGTAGAGCAATGTAGAAAGCTGCTCTGTGAATGAGCAGGGATGTGCAGTAATTGAGTCTCCAAAGAGTTTCTAAGATTCAAGATACTTAAAACTACATGAGTCTGTACATCATATAACCACAGCCTTCACCACTCTATGGAACCACTCTATGGAATGTTGATGTTAGAAATGTGTGTGTGTGTGTGTGTGTGTGTGTGTGTGTGTGTGTGTGCGCGCGTGCACGCACCTGTTGTGTTTGTATACACACGTACATGCACATATACATAGAGGTCCAAGATTGATGTCACATCTTCACCAATCACTTTCCACCTTAGTTTTTGGAATGGGGTCTTTCACTGAACCTGAAGCCTGCTGATCAGCTCTATGGACTGGCTACAAAGCCCCAGGGAATCCCATCTCTGCCTTCTCAACATTGGGACTGCAGACAAAACCACCATGTCTGGCTTTTCGTATAGGTAGTTACGGGCTGGGCTATGTTGAACTGAGCCGTGTCCCCAACCCTGAGGTGGGAGGGAGAGATGCTAAGATAAAGCTTTCCATGAGACTGCTTGTTAGTAGTTCTGAAATGTAACCCTCTTAAAAAGAATCCAGTCAAGTAGGTTGAATAAATAATATTGTCTTAGTTTTATAAAGAGAAAGAGAGAAAGGGAGAGAGAGGAGTGAGAAAGGAGGAGAGGAAGAGAAACTAAGGCTCAGGGTGAAATGGCATGCCGGTACCCATGTAAACAGTAAATATTCAATCCAGAATTAGAACTCAATGTCTGCTACTGCTAAGTCCAATTTTCTTACGTTTTAAAATAATACCTAATCATTGTTGATACGGAGTAGGTTTTGGTAGAGTTTAAACATTTCTTTTTCTTTTTCTTTCTTTGGTTTTTTTGAGACAGGGTTTCTCTGTGTAGCTATGGCTGTTCTGGAACTCACTCTGTAGACCAGGCCAGCCTTTAACTAAAAGATCAACCTGCCTCTGCCTCCCAAGTGCTGGGATTAAAGGTGTGTGCCAACCACCACCTGAATTGAAACATTTTTTAAATTTTTCAAGGTAAACTTTGGCTTAAGAAAATTATCACTGTATCCATCCATCCATCCATCCATCCATCCATCCATCCATCCATCCATCCATCCATTCATCCATCTACCTACTTTCCTGCCTACCTACTTACCTACCTTCCTTCCTTCCTTCCTTCCTACCTACCTACCTACCTACCTATCTACCTACCTACCTACCTACCTACCTACCTACCTATCTATGTAGAGGGCATGAACACAGCATGTGAATGGAGGTCAGAAGACTATTCTCCTTCCACCGTGTATGTCTTGGAGATTGAACTCAGGTCATCAGGCTTGGTGATGAATGCCTTTGTCCACTGAGCCATCATGCTGGCCAACGTTTGCCTTCTGATGCTTCAGATCTCCTGTGGGATTCATTTCATAGGGTCCTGTGTGCACTGCTGATTTATTCTGGTTGCTTGTGACCATTTCTGGTTGAGTTACTTATGAACTTGGTTTCCTTTCTTCAATTCTGTGTTTTAGGATCACACCCGGGTGGGTGCAGATACCTCTCAGGACATCCAGCTCTTTGGAATAGGGATTCAGCCCGAGCACTGTGAGATCGACATTGCCACAGATGGAGACATCACTCTCACGCCAAAAGACAACGCGAGGTAGGAGACATCCATGGAGGCCTCTCCCGTGTTTTCAGAAGGATGTTGGCCCTTTCCCTTGGCTCGCTTTAGTTACATTAAAGTTAAGGATACGCTGGGTATCCTAGAGGGTTTGCTTTCTGATTACAGAGGGTGTGTTAATTACCGTTCTCAATACCTTAACCAAAAATACTTGGGCGGAGGGGTTTACTTTGGCTCACAGTGTGAAAGGGTACAGTCCATGTGGCTAGGACGTCATGGTGGCAGGCATGGCTCTTGAGAGTCACAGTGAGAGTGTGAAGCAGCTGGCACCATCACATCTGACATCAGGAAGCAGAGACAAACACACCTATCCAGACACAGGGTAGCTCTATCTCCTAAGATCCACCCCCAGTGACCTACTTCCTCCAGTGAGGCTCCGCCTCCCAAATTCCACAACTTTTGGATACAGCACCACCACTGGGGACCACCTGTTTTAGAACAGGAGCCTGTGGGGTCATTGCATGTTCAAATCATAGCCGTATAATAACTTTGAGGAGTAATAGCTTTGTCTCGGTTAGAGTTTCCTGTTGCTGTGAAGAGACCCCAGGACCACAGCAACATTATTATTTTCTTATAAAGAAAATGTTTAATTGGGGTGGCTTGCTTACAGTTTCAGAGGTTCGGTCCATTATGGTCATGACGGGGAGCATGGCAGCATGCAGGCAGATATTTTGGTCGAGCTGAGAGTGCTACATCTTGCAGGCAACAGGAAGTCAACTGAATGTCACACCGAGGGAAGCTTGAGTAAAAGAGACCTCACAGCCCGCCCCCACAGTGACACACTTCCTCCAACAGACCACACCTCCTAATAGTGCACTCTCTTTGGGGGCCATTTTCTTTCAGACCACCACATTCCACTTCCTGGCCCCCAAAGGCTTATAGTCATATCATAAGGCAAAAAATGCATTCAGTCCAACCTCAAAAGTCCCCATAGTCTATCACAATCTCAAACTTATTTCAAAGTCCAAAGTCTCTTCTGAGATTCATGCAATCTTTTAACTGTAATCCCCTATAAAATCAAAATCAAAAAACAGATCACATACTTCCAACATATAATGGCACAGGATATACATTACCATTCCAAAACATAGGGAAGGGAGTGTAATGAGGAAATACTGGACCAAAGCAAGACAGAAAACCAGCTGGGTCAACTCCAAACTCTGCATCTCTATGTCTGATGTCAAAATGCTCTTCAGATCTCCAGCTCCTTTCAGCTGTGTTGACTGCAACATACTTCTCTTTCTTGGGCTGGTTCCACTCCCTGTTAGCATCTCTCCTGAGCAGGTATCCCACAGCTCTGGCATCACCAACATCTTGGGGTCTCCAAGGCAATCCAGGCTTTGCCTTCACAGCTTTAGGCAATGGCCTCCCTGGACCTCCATTCAGGGATAACCCTGACACATGCCTGGCCTCAGTGGCTTTCCTTTGTCACAGAGGTAAATTTCATATCCCCTTTCTTCTCTCCTTAACTCTAAAGCCCAAACTACATGGCCAAAACTGCCAAGTTCTGCTGCTTCCTGGGGCTGGAACATGTCCCCCTCCTTCAATTACATCTTCACCAATTTTCTGTTCTTGATGGTTTCCTTCACTGCCTAAGCTTGACTGTCTTTGAACTTGCTCTGTAGACCAAGCTGGCCTCAGACTCAGAGATCCTACAGCCTGTCTCAGTCTCCATAGTGCTGGGATTAAAGGTGTGCACACCCCGCTCTAAGCTTTTCCTTAATTCCTTTTTCACAAGTTGGAAACTTAGCTGGGTGGGATCTTGCCCTGAGGTCTCCACTCCCTTTATTCCATTTCTTAATCTGTTTGTCTCCTTGAACACAGGACTTAGCTCTATTCCACTTCCTGGTGCTCCTTTACTCCTCAAATTTTACATTTTTTAGTTTACCCTGCTTAGCTTGCTTCTTTTCATTATAAATGTGTATAAGAGTGACAAGAAATAACCACATAACAGAGTCAATACTAGGCTGTTTTGAGATTTCCTCTGCCAATAGAATCAACCCCAAACTCTTCACTTTAGCCTCAGGCAGACTCTTTGGGCAAAAGGGCAAAAACAGCCACGTTCTTCACCAAAATATCACAAGAAGGGTTGCTAGGCAACATACTCAAATTCTCCTCTGAAACGCTTGAGCCAGTCCCCCACAGTTCAAATCACTCTCAGCACCACTGTCTTCCATGCTCCTACTGGTATGGCCCATTAAGCGGTGCTTAAAGCATTCCACTGCTTTCCTAACCCAAACTCCCCAAGTCCGTATTCCTCCAAACAAAAGCATGGTCAGGCCTATCATAGCAATACCCCAGTCCCTGGTACCAATTTCTGTCTTAGGGTTTCTATTGCTGTGAAGAGACACCATGACCACGGCAACTGTTATAAAGGAAAACATTTAATTGGGGTGGCTCACTTGCAGTTCAGAGGTGCCGTCCATTATCATCATGTTTGTTTGTTTTTGCTATTTGCTGTAATAGCAAAACCTTAGTAGCCAGGGTTAGACCATGACACTGAAGGATATATGTTTTCATGTATGAATTTCAAAACTTCAGGCTTCAGAGTTCTATCAAGCCCAGGACTTCACTAATGAGAGATTGTATAAGAAAGTAACTAAAGGTAAAAATAATATCCATCCTCTTTTCTCATCAGATTTCCCTGACAATCCTTTAGGGAATTTATTTTTAACTACCTACCTTCCTACACCCATATTTGTTTCTAACTTACCAGCAAACATTTTTTTTTTTTTCAGTTTTTTGAGACAGGGTTTCTCTGTGTAGTTTTGGTGCCTGTCCTGGATCTCGCTCTGTAAACCAGGCTGGCCTTGAACACACAAAGATCCACCGGCTCTACCTCCCAAGTGCTGGGATTAAAGGCGTGCACCACCACTGCCGAGCTTACCAGCAAACATTTTTAACGAGCTGTTGAATATGTGTATTTTTGGTTTTGCAATGCTTTAATCTCTGTGCCTGTGTGTGTGTGCGCGCGCGCGCGCGCGCGTGCGTGCGTGCGTGCGTGCGTGCGTGCGTGCGTGCGTGCATGTGTGTATGTGTGTGTGTGTGTGTGTGTTATGGAGTAGAGATCAGAGCACAACCACAGGCCTTATCTTCACCTCCACCTTGTTTGAGGTAGAGTCTCTTGTTCAGTGCTATGTACACCAGGTTAGCCGGCCGGGGAGCATCCAGGGGTCCTGTCTCTCCTTCCTTGTCTCCATAGGAACGATAAGATTACAGACGGATGGCTCCCCCCAGCTTTACATGGTTCTGGGAATCTGAATTCAGGTTCTCACACTAGCTTTGCTCAGTGAGCCGTCTCCCAGCTGCAGTCTGTAAATGTCGACAAACCACCTGGAGTGATGTTTTGTAGCTCTGTCAGAAGCTCACAGAGCTGGGCATCACTCTTAGTTTGCAACCCATCCTGGCTCATGGCCGAGAGTGTGTTTCTGTTACTCCTTCAAATGTTCCCCAAAACGCATTCCACTAGGAGAAAGTTCCCTGTCCCTTTGAGTCTTGGGACTGCTGTCTTCCCTCCACCTGGCATCTCCCTTTGTGTCCCTCAGGTCCTGTGTAAATGGTACCCTGGTCTGCAGCACTACCCAGCTATGGCATGGCGACAGAATCTTATGGGGAAATAACCACTTCTTTAGGTAACAGCTTCATGTTCTCTAGTATTGCCATTGACCTTTTTTTCTGTTGTCTAAGTATAAATCAAGCTGATTTTTATCTAATGATGACAACCCCCACAGAATTAATTTACCTAAGAGGAAACGGCGGGATTGGTTGAAAGACTTTGAAAAAGAAGCGGGTCCCGCAGAGCATGACCTGGATGCTGCGAGCGAGGCTTCCTCGGAACCAGACTATAACTATGAGTTTGCGCAGATGGAGGTCATCATGAAAACCCTGAACAGCAATGGTAAGATGGGAGCTCCAGCGAGCTCCAGCGGCGGCAGCTCTTACCCACGTCCTTCCACGAGGGACGCGGACCTAGACGCAGAGTCTTCCTAAAGTTTAGACACATACAGCCAACATTTTCTCACAGAGGCCATCAGCAAGGAGCAGCATCAAGACAGCATAGAGAACTCGGGCAGAACCAGAGAGCACGCAGATGGCCCCCTTTGGGCACCTCTTGTTCCCAAGCCAAAAGCGATAGCATTTCCACGGTCTCAGAGTATTTACAGAACGGGTTTGACAACCCTTTTTTTTTTTTAATCAAATTTCCCATCATTGACATTGTCATTTTTGGAAGAGTGAAGAAGTCCCCAAGAAAATATGGATCCAGAAATTTTGAATAAAACCTAATAGATATAGAAGGTAATATTTACTATAAATTTAGTTGGAAATTACACTTCCAAAAAGACTTACTTAACAGAGAGGTAAAAGTAATGATTTGATAAAAATAATCCTTAAAGTGAAATGTTCTCCAGACTCTTTGACACACAAACACACACACACACACACACGCACGCACGCACGCACACACACTCACACACACACACACACACACACACTCACACACACACTCACA